ATATACCCAGGTTGCTCTCTTAATTCTTATATAATTGCCAACAAATGTACAATCAATACTCCTATCAATCTCTCTTCTAGATTTTTTGGTCAAATCAATATATACAACAAAACCCTTAACTTCAATGCAAACTACCATAATCTTATATACTCTATTGCAATTCAACATCCTATTCAAATTTCTAAACCCCTAATATCAACATTACAATATACTTAATTTTAATGATATTTGAACCCAGTACTTTAACAGACAAACTTTAACAAATTGCCAACTACAATGCACAACTATCAGAACTTCATTTTTATACAGATGGCTCTGTCATCAATCTGGGTACCTCACAATGCTCTATGGGCATCAGATAGGCTCAAATTTTAAACAACAATATACTGCATACCTTTCAAGCCCTAATAAGATACTGGCCTTGCTTATTTAAAGCTAAGCTCACTGCTATCTTAACAGTCCTTATTACTGCTTCTAGAAATTGTACTATACACATATATACCAATTCACAATCTGTAATCTCTAAATATCACAGTCTTTCAAACTCAACTCATACTCTACTTTATACATATACACCATATTTTTCATTATGGAATACATTTATTAACTTTGTCAAATTATACAACATTTATATTATTTTTTACAATGTTACTGCTTATCAAGACAATCAGTACAATAACCTTGCAGACCAACTTGCATGCAGTTATTATAATTAGTCATATCTTATCTTTATGTTCTACAATATTTACAACCCTGCATACACTTTAAATTTCAAAAACTTCCTCTTAGAATTACCTATCTGTTACAGTATCTGTACAATATGTCATGCACATATTTATGCATTATGAATTACACAAAACTGATTTTAAAAATGGAACAAAATTTTTAACTAAGTTAATTGGCAAGCTATCTGGCTATATATCAACAATAATCAAAAAATCTTAAACTTCTCATACAGCTTTCATCATCTACTCTAAAATCCTTTAGAATCAAAATTCTACTGAATGATCTTTCTATTTCATACATTTTACATAAACAATATTATTCAAATTTATCTACCTGTTACCAATGTTATCAAATTAGTTCTCATCTCTACTGAACAACCTGTCCATCTAATCAATTGCTATACAGCCTTATAGATATTTCATTACAATATACTTTAAACACTAAAACACTTAACACTACTTCAAATATTATAACCAATTTATACAATCAAATTAAGCTGTTGAGTAGTATGACTATTCACAGCATACCAGATTTACCTTCAATCTTTTCAACTCTAATAAGTCTAATACCAAATAAACTTATTAACATTATTGCAAACCTGTCATTCAAAAAAGTAGCTACAATACTTGTTAACAAGTTTTTACTTCATCTTAACCAACAAATTTATCACAAAATCTAGATCCTATATTGTATCTCAAGATCTATAGCTCAAACTCCTGAATATAACACATCTTCAAATTCTGCCTCACTTTCATTACATTTTCTACTACTCAATTCTATTAGTTCAAAAATAAACTTCTGATATATCTAATGAATTAAATATTAAACTAATCCCTTATACATAATTACTAACACTCAAATCTAAATGAGCCTTGGTCGCAGATAAATTAGTCTAAGCTTTTATTCTTTCTATAATATTTTAAAAGCAGAATTGTACTTTATGTAAAATCTCAATTAAATATTTAATAAAGATAAAGGCATGGCCTTATCATTAATATTAAAAATAATAAAATAAAATAAAAATAAAAATAAAATAATTCAAATAAGAACTATTTTCAAAACTTAAGAAATTTAGCATTATTAATTTATAAGATTATAAGTTCTGGCATTTTTTTTTTAAATTGATCAATCTTTACAAATACTATAATATATAGTTAATAATTTTATAAAAAAGTTATGTAGTATTATAGAACAAATTATTATTATTTTATTATTATTAGTTATTATTATTATTCTATTATTATTATTTAGTATTAGTTGCTTAGTTGCTTAGTTGCTTAGCCACTTAGTCACTTAGTTGCTTAGTTACTTAGTAATTAGTCACTTAGTAATTATTAGTCATTAGTTGCTAGAACCTTCTGGTTGCTTAATAATTAATTAGTTACTTAGTCACTTAGTTACTTAATGCTTAGTCACTTAGTCACTTAATTACTTAGTCACTTAATTACTTAGTTACTTGGCCACTTAGCTACTTAGTTTACAGATATATAAACCCTGCTAAATTCCTCCAAGTGTGATTAAGCAACAAACACCTCTTTTTCATTTAATATTGTAAATAGTGTTCTGAGTTGGTAAAAATTTAGCCAATCGATTAGTTGAAATTAAAGTTGGCAACTAATCGATTGTGTGATCACATAACTAAAATAATCGATTAGTTGTTTAGTTGTTTAGTTGTTTAGTTGTTTAATTGTAAGTTGTATAGTTGATATTAAAAAAAATTAATTTTACTGCAAAAAATATACTTGCATAATATTTTAGATGCTTCAAAAAATATTTTAACTTAGAATTTATAATAAAAGTAACATTTGATCAATCTATCAATTGCAACAAACAGGTATTTGGAAAATAACCAACACAGAGACAGTGCCCAATCCAAAGTAAATCCCTCTTGCCTGTGATCAATTACAAATTAAATTATTTATGTTGGATTCAATTGTGATGGATATAATCCCTTATCAGTTTTAATATATGTATAATATTAATAGTTTCTGCTGTTGAAATAACTTTGGAACAAAGTAAAAACCAAATACAGTCCCGAAGAATTAATTTTTCAACATTATACAATATAAACTTTAAAGTATATGGGCAGACATAACTAGTTGCTTGCAAATTTATAAATCCATGGAAACATTTATTAATAACAATAATAGAGAGGTATGACAAATTACTTGCAGATTTAGAAATTAAACTAAATAATGTATTACATCAAGATGCACTTATATGATCTTTTGATGTAAATAAATCAGGTAATGCAAAAGCATTAAGGCTTCGTGATAGTCTGTTAGCATCACTTTCAGATCGGACCAGATAATGCATAAGCATTAGACCGCCAACAACAATTAACACTCTAAATCAGACAAACCCAAACCAATCACCCTAACTAGCATTGTATACTTTTGATGCATTATGTCGATTTTTATTTATTTAATAAATTAAATAACTGAAATGTGCAATTGAGATTTATTTGCTGTCCAAACTGATAATCTAGTTGGCAAATCATTAATTTGAAATTTAAAAAAATAAGCTTGATTTAAAGAAAACTTTAAAATAAATGTTGTTTATACTTACAAACTAAAATAGCCTAAGAAGCGATAAAATAAATGACGTCCACAAATATGTATAAATTAAATAAAGAACCTGAGTATAACTATTTAATAATATGTAAATACCAAATAAGCTTAAATTGAAACATAATAGAATAACTAAAATGACCGTTATACTTACCAAGTTAATACAAGATAATGGCCTATAAAGCACTTTTTAAAATAAAGGTATAAATTTGGGTTATTATAAGTTTCAAATATTATAGTTTGATATTTATACTTACCAATTCACAGAGAATTGAATGACCTGAAAAGTACTATTAAAACGAGAACATAAATTAGATCATAAATTTTAATATTTTTAAATATAGAATAATAATATAAATCTTTTGATTCACCAAACTAATGCAAATTAAACGATTTGCAAGAAGCTGTATGAAAGGCAAATGCTATATAAGCTTGATTTTACAATAACTAAGTAGGATAATAGAATAGGGTTTTAGCTTGAAAATAACCTTATGGGATATAGTAATTACTATGCCTTGTAAGGTAATTTTTAAGATAAAGATCCCAAACGATTTTAATACATATCAAGTTAATGTGAATTAAAAAATCTGGGGCGCGAAAGAACTATTTAAAGCAAATATCCATAATGGTAAGTTTGTATTGCAAATTTTAACTAACAATCATAATACTCACCAAGTCCATTGTGAAATAAACAGGCAGAAAGCAATTTAATCATAATATTAAATTGAAAAGTTAAATAGAAGCATAAATAGTTTCTTATACCCATAAAATCATTGGCTTAAATTATGTATAAAGATAAACATTTGTAAGTTAGATGAAGCTTAAAATGATAATTGATTACCTTAACTAAAATGAAAAGCAAGGATACTTACGAGGTAAGATTTTAAGAGAATAATAAAATTAAATACTTACAGTGCTACTTAATAATAAATATAGTAATAAGACTTAAAAATAAATATATAAAAATAAGATGAAATCAAAATCTATCATTGAACAAAAATATATAATTCTTATTGAATATATTATAGTAAAATGTTCAATATATTATATGTTATCGACATATAAATGTAAAGCAATACATGTAAATGTTAAGTAGAGAAAACATTAATACTGCTCATATTTTTTTTTAAGAAATATTAATTGTTTCAATAAATCTGGATCGAGCCTAGTGCGTTTATCTGTTACATGGTTCACAGTGTCAGAAAATAGATGTTCTGATGGAACAGAGGAAGCTGGCACTGCAAGATATCATCTTGCCAAGATTGCCAAAGTAGGAAAGAGGGTTTTGTATTAATGCCACCAAGCCAGAGGGCAGGGTTCGTCATTTAGAGAAACTTCAAGTATTTCACAATACCGATCAAATTCGTCAGGCACAGCATTAGTATTTTCTGTTCATAAATGAGAAAAAAATGATGACATTTTAGATTTTTTATGTTGATGTAATATTGTATCATCATTGTTGGTTAGTGTAGTATCATCATTAGTAGGTTGTGTTGAATTCAATTCATCAAATTGGTGGCGCATAATTTGGATCGTCGAGCGGTGTAAATCTCTAGTACAGAAATTTAATTGCTTAAATCACAGGTCAAGAAAAGAGCAGCACATTCCAATCTCACTTGGATCTCTCCACCGTTCAATCAAGTTACCTAAGATTATGTTTCTAACAAGGATTGCTTTATCATTTTGACCAGTAAAGTACTTAAGTCAATGTGCGAGTTCTTCTAACATTGGTGTCATAAAACCAAGTGTCGGGTATTTGGATTCACTTAAAAATTGTGTTGCTTCATCGAAAGGAGAAAGGATTACAATGAGTTCTTCCAATAATTCAAATTCTTCTTCTGAAGAAAGAAAAGAACTTATCGTTTCTGCCTCTCTTCTAACCTCCCTAAGAGTATGATTATTGAGAGTTAAGTATAATTGCATAATGGCGGGTCTCAAGTACACAAGATGTTCAATAGAATAAAAGGTGGAATTCCATCTGGTATCCACATCCTTAATGACATTTAATGGTTTTTTAAGTTGTTTTCTTTTTTTTTCTTTTGACAAAATAGAAACAAGTGTTTTGCACTTTGAAATAAGCTCATCTACTTGCTTTAGTCCTAAATTTACACTTAGTTGTAATGTATGCCTGGCACACTTAACATTAGTAATGCCCATTTGTTGCACTGCTGACTTGATATTTGCACTATTATCTGTGGTAATAGAAAAGATCTTTTGACGATTAATATTAAATTTATCCAAAACAGAGTTAACAGATTCTACAATATCAGATGCATAATAATCATACAACTCCCCAATTTCAAGTATAATTTCGTGCAACTCAAATGATTCTGTAAGCCAGTAACAAGTGATTCTGATATAACCATCATGTGCTTGTGAAAACCAAATATCAAAGGTTAAAGAAACTGTGTCAGATGTCCCTAAAATAAAATCTATAATTTGCTTTACTGCTGAAGTATAAGTATCAAATATGATCATTTTTATTGTACTAACACATGGCATTTTAAATCGAGAATCAAAACTTTTTATCAAAAGCTTAAAGTCATCAATTTCGACAAGATAAATGGGCTGAACACAAGAAACTATATATCGTACAACTTGAAGTGCAAGTTTTTTTTGAGCAAAAGAAGAATAGAGTTTCATAATTATTTGCTGAATTGTTTGTTAATGAACTTTTACTGACTTATTCGCAAGTAATTCTTTGGTAATTTGATGGATATCCCTAAAGTGAGATATTAAATTGCTTGTTGAACCTAACCACACATACTCTGTATCACATCCATCAAATAAGCATTGAACTTTTTCGACTTCCTCTTCTAGATTATCTAATTTAAGTATTAAAGCATCATATTTTTTAAAAAATTGCCATACGAAACTTCCTGGCTTTTTTCCTTTTCTTTTTCTTTTTTTGACACGATTCAAATTTGAAGAAGATGTTGATGTTGAGGCTAATATTTCATCATCATTACTATCTTTTTCTTGGTCATTATCAGATGGATCAAAATCATCATTATTCGCACTATCCATTGTAGATTCTTCTGTTTAAATATTACCAAGATAGCATTCTCACCTTTTTATTATATTCATATTTGTGTTAAAGTACTTACATATTATACAGGTTCTGTACAAGACAAAACTATGATTAAAATTTCACTTGAGGCTGTTTTTTATTTTAAATAATATATAATATATTTGACTTTTACAAATTGTGGGTACTTATATATATGGGTCCTTTCAAAACAAAAGGCAGATTTTTGATGAATGCCTCATGTTTACCACCAATTTTACTTTTATAAAACTTATCACTGGTTCTGTTATCAATAATATTTATCGTATGATTTCTGAAAATGTTTAAATGCATCATGTTTGTTCTTTGACTTTTACTTGATGTATCCTTTTTTTTATATAACGATGTTTGATTTTTATGAATGTGTTATATGTATTATTGTTCTTTCATTATTTCGCACGGGTTCAATATACCAATAATGGTAACCTTTAATTGCAAAACCGGTTAAAAAACCAGGAATAAGTAGGCTTTAATATCTAAAATGCTTTTGTCTTATCTCAAATTAGTGTAATTATGACTTTGGTTTATATTATTTATCCTTTCCCCCTTCACTCTCCGTCAACAACACCTATTAATCTAAGCAACAGCTATACTTGTTATGTGACAGCAAGAATACTTTATAATTTTTTGAACTGAAAAAAGATCATTTAAAAAGATTATGCATACGTACATATTTGATTACAAATACGTATTAAACAATAAATGTGAATTACAAATAAACTATGTAAGTATGATGATAAGCTTTACCAATTTAACTACTATGTATTAGTTACCAATCAATGGTTGTGATTCTGTTATATCATTACAATTAATGTTAATAGATAGGAATTTACTAATTTTTCCCACCACTTATAATTGGTTCTACTAATTATTTACATATCAAAGTATCTGTGTTATTAATCAATTTTATAGTTTTCCAATAGTGAAGTGGTGGGGGAAATTAAGGCACCCAATAGATAGTTGTTTAGTTGATTAATATAGTTGATAACTAATTGATAACTGACAATTAATTGTAATTGAATCAGTTAATAATAAATCAATTAGTTGCTTAAATTTTTTTTAAATCGATTAGTTGAAAAGTTGCCAACTAGTTGGTTTTTCAACTAATGATTTGAAACACTAATTGTAAACACATCTTGGGATTTTTTAGGAACAGAAATCTAAGGATAGCCTTTTTTGTTATTATTTTAATAAATGGCTTTTGACTATAAACTTTATTGATACTTCTTCTCTAGAGTAAATCCTACAGGCAAGGTTTATCCACTCTTAATAAAATAAAGTAAAGTTATTAGTATTGCATTACCTTTTCTGAACTGCCCCAGAGAAGGATATAGTTTTTTGACAATGTCTAACAGAAGCTATACTTCCCTCTTGAACACTGTATATACCCATAAGGAAATTCACTATACTGTATCATTATTATAGTATGAAAATTAAGAAGGCTTTCACTTATAAGATTTGGTGCTTTCTGGCAGAAAGGTTAAATTTTTAGAAAAAAATAAGTTATTTTGGATGAAATATTCCTGAAAGTATTAGAAAAGTTATTCTGGCAAAAGATTGAACAAGTATTAGTTATTCTGGCAAGAGACCTAGATGAGTATTAGTTATCCTGACAAGAGATCCAAATGAGTATTAGTTATCCTAACAAGAGGCCTGAATGAGTATTAGTTATCCCAGCAGAGTCCTGAATGTAGAAACTCATCTTCTTTTATGGTTCACACTGCTGCTAAACTCTACAATAAAAACATCCAAAGCCATCAATAAGCATACCTAACTGAATCTCATCTTGTAGTAGATGTACTCCAAGTATAGCATTCAGATTTATTTTGTCTTCAGTATTATTTTCCTTAATGTACTAACCCTTACTTAGGTTTTGGATAATTTTGGACTTAGTACTAAACCAACTTTGCAGCTCAATATTATCCTTCCAAAACTTAGGACAACTTTACCACTCTTACTACTCTATATCCAAACTGAATTACAATTCGCCTCTGCATTAGAGATATTATTTTTAGTTGTCAATACCAGGTGTGAGGCAAAATCCTAACAAACAGAATCCTGACAGGTCATAATCCTGACAAAAAATTCTGATAGTCGAAAATCCCATCCTGACAGCCAGAATTTTTAGGTAGGAAATCCCCAAGTATGAGATATGTTTAAAGTGAAGTAGGCTCTTATAATTAATTAATTTTAGAATTAGATCACTTTAGATAATGGTTGGGATAGGGTTTGCTATGGTCTATTATATTTTTTATCAGAGTTTTTAATTGTCAAAATTTCAACTGTTGGGATTTTTGACTGTCAGGATTTTAGCTGTCAGGATTTTTTTGTCATAATTATGACCTGTTGGGATTCTGTTTGTCAGGATTTTGACCCAAACCCATCGATACCAACAATATATTGGTAATCCTAGGACAATTGCCTTAACTCTAGTTAGAAGATATACCAACCTCTTCCAACTTCCTACTTTACATTTTGAATACCAAAATGCTTTTGAACTTTACCTCAACACTTCAGCTTTAAAGAACTAGAAGAATTTAGTTAACATCTTGGAAATTTAGAAAGTCCTATTTTACCACCTACTACTGATATTACATTTACTGATAATATTTCCTTCTTATGTAACCCAGCAGATAACTTAGCTCTATATAGTGAATTAGTTACACCTACTGAACTTTCTGAAAGTTACTATACTTCTGATTGGACTCTACAAATCTCTCTATTACTCACTGGCAATTTAGAAACAGAAGAATATATTACTGCTTCTGTAGACCTTACAGAAACCTCTAGCCCAACTTCTACTCCTACTGACTTATCTTAACATACTTTTAAAAATAGCTCTTCTCTTTCACCTTTACCTCAATTGCTATTTTTATACTTTAACCTATTGCTGTTCAACCATAACCTATTTAACCACAACCTTAACTTCTTCCTCCACTACTACCTATTCTTGATAACCTTATTGACCTATTTGATCATATGGCACAACAAGCTTTACAAGATGCTGTACAAGCTATAGCTGACTTTACTAACTCTCTAAATGAAAGTAAAAAGGCTCTTATGAAAGCTGATTTCTTTTATGATAATAGAACCCAAGATCCAGAACAATAGCTTAAATATTTTTGAAGAGCTGCTACTGCTAACAAGTGGGATGCTGCTCAAAAGTTAGAACTAACCCCTGTATATTTAAAAGAAATTGCATTAGACTAGTAGCAAAGTTTTAACCCTGCTCCAAATGCTTTTGATAATAATGCCAACCAAAACAAAAGCTTCAAACATCTTTTTAGACTTTACTTTTATACATCTAAACAAAATGCTATTTGGCAGAAACAGCTTTTTGATATCAAACAAGACCCAGATACAGTAGATGCCTATGTTAACTATTTTAGACAATTGAAAAGACAAGTTGATTCTGGTGATGCTTTTTCTGTTAACTTTACCAAGCAATTATTTATTCAAGAACTACACTTTGAATTTTCTATTAATATGCAAGCTAGTGAATCTGCTAACCTAAATGCTGCTATTACCACTGCAAAACAATAGAAAACTGGATATGTAATAGCTGCTAGCACTACTAAAAAAACAGACCAAGCTATCAAACAACTAACAGACCAGATTGTCAAACTTAGTATAAACTTGGTACAGCAACAGCAACTACCCCAATTTTAATCTGCTAACTATGCAGCTACATCTAACTCTAACAGGCCTTCAGCTAAAAATTTATGATGCTGTCACTACTGTAAACATATAGAACATTTTATTGTTGAATGTAGAACCAAATAAGCTGAACAATGATCTAACCAAAGAGATAACTATAGAAAAAATGATAGACACAACCAAAGGTCTTACTTTCAAAGTTGTGATAAATCTTATTATTGAAACTCTTCTAGAAAAAGAGAAAACTCTAGAGAAAGAAGCAGATACTCAGACTCTTATAATAGTGATAGAAGAAGAATTAGTTTTCACTCACCCTTACCCTACTATAGAGATGTTAACTACCTTGGCCATGAAGATCTCTCTCCTTCTCCTTCTATTATATATCAAAGAAATAGAAACAGTTCCTTAACAACTCTGCTATTCATACAGCTATGTCTGCATATCTGTATAAAGAAGCCAAAAATGCTAACCTAGTCTAATCATCTACCCATACTACTCCTGTAAAATGCAATATCTACTTAGAAACAGACCCTACCAAGCTATTATTGATAGTGATGCTGCTATTAGTATAATTGCTCATCAGACTGTTAAAGAACTAGGACTCAAAATTGAACAAGCCTCTACTAGCCTAATTGTCATAGCAACTGGTACTTCTATATGCTCTCTAGGAATTATTAAAGACCTTTCTGTAATAATTGAAGAAATGGCTATTTCAATCACTATTGAAGTTGTTCTTGCTACCTCCTATATCCTTCTTCTTGGTAATGACTGGTTCAAGAAATTTGGTGCTAGTTACAACTGAAAGAATGGTTGTTATTTGTTCAAGTAGAATAACAAAAAGGTCTCAGTACCAATGATCTATAAAAGTAATCATGCTTTACTTGCTTAACCAACAGTAATAGACCCAAAAGAACTTGACCTCTATGAGCAAGAATTCCTTACACCTTATGAAGCATATACTGCTTAACTTATTTCAGAAACAGACAACAAAGGATGAACTATCTACTAACCATAATGACAAGCCCAAACTGCCTCATCTCATGTATGTGGCAACTGTAAATTTTCTGACCACCTTTTTGCTAATTGTTCTCAGAATACTTGCAACCAATGTCATAATAAAGGACATATTGCTGTCTACTGTCAACTACAAGCTCCTCAAAGAGAAACTTGCAAAAATTGTCAAAGTTTTGAACATCTCTATTAACAATGTCCTGAAAATATTTGTCATGAATGCATTTAATGGGACACATTGCTGTTGATTGTCTCTTGGCTCCTTTCAAGCACCAGAATCAGACCTACCAATGCGGATACAAT